GCACATGTGAGGGATCCACGCAATATAAGAAATGGTATTTCGAGCTGATAGTGGACCATGTAGAGCCCTTCTTGACGGCACAAGCCGGCCACCTTCGCGTGGGCTGGGCTCTGACGGAAGGATACAGCCCGTACCCTGGGGGCGGTGAAGGCTGGGGAGGCAATGGTGTCGGAGATGACCTCTATTCATACGGCTTTGATGGGCTACACCTGTGGTCAGGTGAGGTAATCAATAATTTTTCAATAATGTTAGCATTCCCGGGGGGGGGGGGGGCAGCCAGTTGGCCTTGGACCTCCAGAGGTTTTTCTTTCTCCCTACTTGGGAGTTTTTTGTTCCCCTCCTCCGTTGTCTGCTGGCTTCCTTTCTTTCATTTCAGTCTTAATGATGTTGTAATGTACTACAAATCACCATGTAATGCACCTCTGTGACTCTGTTGTGAAAAGCACTATATAAAATTGAATTGAATTGAATTGAACTGAAGATAGTCAGGCTTTTAACAAATGTGTAACACTTATTGCATAATGCAGAAATTCCATTCCCATTGTCTTCTCCTGCTCTCTATCATTAGGGCGTGTCCCGCGACTCGTGGCCTCACCCAATCAGCACATCCTGGCAGCAGATGATGTGGTCAGCTGTTGCCTGGATCTAAGTGTTCCAAGCATTTCCTTCCGAATCAATGGGCACCCAGTGCAGGGCATGTTTGAGAACTTCAACCTGGATGGCCTTTTCTTCCCAGTTGTCAGCTTTTCTGCGGGTATCAAGTGAGTACCTGAATGCAAAAGGTTTCGGGAGTAGGAGATAGTGGACAGAAAACAAAACGTAAAGTTACATTAGCTATGGATCAAGTTTTATCGATGCTTTCTTCTTCTGCTACTATGGGGTTGCTTGAGTTTTCAGTGAGGGTGCTCTGAAATTTAGGATTTCCCCTTAATGGGCCAGTCACCACAGTTTAATTTCTACTGCAACCCCCCCAACACAGGTACACAAACACACGTGCAGTACCTGTTCTGTGACAGTTACAATGGCATTCAGTGTTAAACACAAGGCGAGATATCAAATTATAGTATTCACACATTAAAAATAAAAAATTCTAAATAAACCATAGAAATTTCTTGGGGGTGCCATGGCTGTCTTATTGATAGCTGCAGCACCCCCCCAAGCCAGCTGCTAAATGTTTCATATATAAACTGAGGGTTTAAAAATAGCGATTGACTTACGGCTTATTTTCCGAACTTCTTTAGGGTTCGCTTTCTTCTGGGAGGGCGTCACGGACAATTCAAATTCCTCCCACCCCCCGGTTATGCACCTTGTTATGAAGCAGTGCTGCCTAAGGAAAGGCTGCGCATTGAGCCCATCAAGGAGTATAAGCAGGACTTCAGCGGCATTCGGAACCTGCTGGGGCCGACGCAGTCACTCTCCCACACCGCCTTCACCCCCTGTCCAGTGGACACCGTGCAGGTACCCCACATCCCTGTCAGCGTCACATAAACCCCTCGAAGTTAAACCATAACCCAACTGGTCACCGTCCTGACCGTGCAGATCGTGTTGCCGCCTCATCTGGAGCGGATTCGGGAGAAGCTGGCAGAGAATAGCCATGAGCTGTGGGCGGTCACCCGTATCGAACAGGGCTGGACCTATGGAGCGGTAAGGCCTTTCGCAACTCCCACTACTATTTGAAATTTATGAACTGCGTATTTCTGGAATTTTCCAATTTTTTTTGGCCCATGGTAAAGCGCGGATAACTGAAACCGTGGTTACTGGGATATGGGGATCGCACTATATGTCGTATAATGGTCACAGCTATCAGAGCGTAGCAGCCCAAATAATAATGAAATAATGGAAGCAAAGATAAATGTTTGGGGTTCTTTGTTTACTGTCAGATTCGGGATGACAACAAGAAGCTGCACCCCTGCCTGGTGGATTTTCACAGCTTGCCAGAACCCGAGAAGAACTACAACCTCCAGATGTCTGGGGAAACTCTTAAGTGAGTCTGACTTTGCCTTCTGGCTTCCGTAGTTTGGTGCAGTGCAGGTCCATATCTACTCGCTGCTTTGTCATATTCCTACAGAACTCTGCTGGCTTTGGGTTGTCATGTGGGCATGGGGGACGAGAAGGCTGAGGAAAACCTGAAGAGAATCAAACTCCCCAAAACGTCAGTCCTGCATTTATCGTAGTGTGCACATCACATCATCTGCATTTTCGCACAAGATCGTGACCTGCTTGTGTTCTAGATACAACAACAAAATGTTATATTATCACTCTCTGTCTTATTAGTTACATGATGAGCAGCGGTTACAAGCCTGCTCCCCTGGACCTGAACCATGTGAAGCTGACACCCAACCAGAACACTTTGGTGGAAAGGCTGGCCGAAAATGGACACAATGTCTGGGCACGGGACAGAGTCCGGCAGGGATGGACCTACAGTATCGTACAAGTATGCCCTCTTTCTTCTAGCCTGGTTCACGTTAGTTTTATTTTAATGTGCTGCTCGTAAATTATGATACATTTGTGACATCCTTTACGTCTGGATTACATGATTTGGCTTTTTGAAATTCTTTCACCAGGACATTGCAAACAAACGCAATCCCCGGCTTGTTCCATACAACCTGCTGGACGATAAGACCAAGAAGACCAACAGGGATACTGTGTGCGCTGCTGTAAGGACACTCATTGGCTATGGATACAACATTGAACCTCCTGATCAAGAAAGCAGTGAGTCTTTCCACTTGTTTGTAGGTGTTTTTAAGCACATACACTGTTTCTGGTAACACTTTACTTTCACAGGGTATAATATAGTATAATGCTATTACTTATGTACTGATTAACCACAAACTGAATCTTAGTTACATACTCATCTGATGTTAATTTATCATTAATGAATCGTAATGAGTGTTTTATCTCAAGCAGTTACTATATTTATTACTATATCTGCTAATCCTGTAAACCTTTGTGAACTACTGAAGGAACAATTCATGAATAACTGAAGTTAAATGCTGATTTCATGTTTGTTCATCATTAATGAATCATGATGCATCTTTTATCAGTAACTATATTCGTTCAAGATTTATTCATGATTTGTGCGTTAGTAGTAACTTAGTTATTACTAAGTGTTTGTGCCCAATCAAGTAGTGTTATGCTATTTATGCACTATAAGCACTTACTGTATATAAGTCGCTCTGGCTAAGGGCGTCTGCCAAATGCTGTAAATGTAAATGTATTTCCCTTTAGTCTTCATCAAGATCCCAAATTTGGCTCTTTTTCCCCCCCACAGGTGCCCATTGTGCTGGTGGCTTACGAGTAGACAAGATACGAGTATTTCGGGCAGAGAAGTCCTATGCTGTGACTCAGGGGAAGTGGTACTTTGAGTTTGAGACAGTGACAGTGGGTGAGATGAGAGTTGGCTGGGCCCGTCCCAACGTATGTGCTGACGCAGAGTTGGGTGTAGACGACTTATCATACGTCTTCAATGGTTTCAAGGTAATTTTATATCCGTAATTTTTCATTTTGCAATGAACGTATAGTATTATTTCTAAGCATTTATTTGTAACCTCAGATGGTTTATTAGTAGTAACAATTAATGCATTTTTGTTATTACATGTGTTTTTTTTTAGGCCCAACGCTGGCACGTGGGCAGCGAGCCCTTTGGGCGAAGCTGGCAGTCCGGCGATGTCGTTGGCTGCATGATTGACCTTACTGAGCGTAACATCATGTTCACACTTAATGGAGAGATGCTCATTAGTGACTCTGGCTCTGAGATGGCCTTCAAGGACATCGAGATTGGGGATGGTAAGTACAAAAGAGGAGCACTTGAGTAAAGGCAGGAAGACAGAGTCCCAAGGTGAGGTGCCTGGAGTCTTACTGACTGCTGACCTTGCAGTTAAGGTGTCACTTGTCTGCTGTTTGTTTCCCTGTTTGATACTTTAGTCTGTGTGCTTCCTACAGTCACATCTCTCTCCCCAGGTTTCATCCCAGTGTGCAGCTTGGGTTTGTCTCAAGTAGGAAGGATTAACCTGGGCCAGAATGTCAGTAGCCTGCGTTACTTCACCATCTGTGGCCTACAAGAGGGCTTCGAGCCTTTTGCTATTAATATGAAGCGGGACATCACTATGTGGTTCAGCAAAAGCCTCCCCCAGTTCATCCCAGTGCCTACTGACCACCAGCATATAGAGGCATGTTTTATAATGCAAATTCATGGAACAAAACTTCTTATCAGCTTTTACCATAGTAGAGACTGGGGACAATTGTTGAATTTTTTTCTTTTTCAATTTTACAAATAGTAGAAAAATGACACAATGGAATTTTTTCCTTTCAAAATAAAGTTGTATTAGTTTGTTAGACATCAGTGGTGTTTGGGGTAGTCTAAGTAACACAAGAATATTACTTTATCCCTTTAAACAACAGACCCTGTTCAAGAACTCCCTCTGGTCTCCCCTACTCAACTATAATATTTATAAGTATCGAATTATTAGATAATTTAAAACCTGCTTAATTGCTCATCTTTACTCCAAAATGTACTTTTTAAAACATACTCTGAATTTCATGGTTTTCCTAAACTTCTTCAGATATCTCGTATGGATGGGACAGTGGACAGCGCCCCCTGCCTGAAGCTGACCCATAAAACATTTGGATCTCAGAATGCCAACACTGACCTGCTGTTTATGAGACTAAGCATGCCAGTGGAGTTTCATGAGTTCTTCAAGGTGCCGGCTGGGAGGACACTTCTCACACGGAGCCTCATCATTCCTGAGGATGAGGTAGTTGTGGTGGACCCCAACTCTGACTTTGAGATGCTGAAGAAATCTGCCACTCGTAAAGAGCAGGAGGAGAAGGAAAAGGAGCCCCCTGTACTGAAGGAGGTCCCAGGCAGCAAGGGGGGAGAGAATGAAAAAGATGCCTCCACAGAGAAGAGCAAAAAGAGGGGGTGAGAATGACTTATATGCTGCTTAGCGATTAGAGAAGGGGTTCCAGTACTTTGCATTACCTTAGCAAGGGTAGAGCAAGTGTAGCTAAATGAGTATGTTGTTGAGATTACAGTTAGAATACATAATGCATAATTAGAGAAGCCTAACAGCATGAAAACGCAGCATAGGAGGGTGCTGGGAACAGGCAGAACACTGTTGTGTGTCTTGTTTCAGGTTTCTCTTCAAGGCCAAGAAGGCCGCTTTTACCACCCCTCCTGTTGTTCCCACTATTCCGCGTCTGATAGAAGATGTTGTGCCAGATGATAGAGATGACATGGACATCATTCTCAACACCACCACGGTGTGATTTGTAAAACTTACCCCCCCCCCCAAAAGTAATATTTCACCATCTTAATCCTGTTAATCCTGTCCATATAATATTCCTGGGCTTACAAAAACACTCCAAATATATGTTAAAATGAATAAATACTATGCATTCTTTTATATGAAATATAGAGTGGAAAGACTGCTCAGAAGATTTAATACAGTTTTACCTGCTTACTGTGTAACACCATTTCTAGGTGTTGATGCTTATATTAACAAAGAGGTTTTAAAACTGAACTTAGAGTGCCTGTAACTCAAATAATCCTTTCATCCCTCTGCAGTATTATTACGCAGTGCGTGTCTTCGCGGGACAGGAGCCGAGTGGCGTCTGGGTGGGCTGGGTCACCCCAGACTATCACCAACACGATCCTCATTTCGACCTCTCCAAAGTACGCAATGTCACTGTCACTGTTGGTGATGACAAGGGAAATGTCCATGACAGGTAAATTCACATGGACTAGGCACACTGGCAGGCAAATGCTTATAAGTACACATGGACACATACAGTCACACTGCGAATCTGTTTTAAAATGATATATATTTAATACCCAAGTATTATTTAATACCAATAAAATGCGGGATTGCATTTGTATTTGCATGATTTTCAGTTGGAGATAGTGATGTCCAATTCATGAACAAATCATTCTTTTGAACTGTTTTTTTCCCCAATGAATCAGTTGAACTGGTTTTCATATCTAAAATAATCAAACTTTGTACATCCATGCATTAAATAATTAAAAAATATTTGACAAATTATCATTTGCTTTTCATATACCGTCTGTAGTCATTGTACCTTAACCCGTTGTATTTGTGCTGTGGCTCACTGTTCACGACTAATGATGGCCCACCTGATATTTCATGAACCATTTGCTGTATTTCTTGACCCCACTAGATGGTGCTTTCTGTTAAAAAAATGGGCTCAACGCACGTCCCAAAGCAAACCAAGAGCGCCATCTAATGGGGTCAAAAAATACAGCAGGTGGTTCATGAAGTGCTTCTTTGATCATCACTACTCCTGACTCTCGGCAATTGACAAGTTAGGGAGTTCAGCATGTTCGATTGAAGCAGTTACTAGGCAATTCTCGTTAGACTCATAAGACCCATAGGAGATATTTATGATATATTTTTAATGAGTTATCATTATGTCTTATTTGAAATGCATGTAATTACATTATTGGCCACTGGTTTTTAAATTTTGATTGGTGTAAGTTACTAAGTTTTGGAGTCACATTCCCCTAACCCTGTTTTTCTCACTGTATATGTGTATTTCATTATGCGATTTTATTGAACGCAAGGTTTTTCAGGAATGTCTTAGTCGTGTTGCAGCCAGACTGACTATAAATGTGCCTATACAAAGATAGCATTAAACCCCAGAATTATTTGTTTTGATTTCACATATTGTTTCTCTCTCACTCAGTATGAAGAGGAGTAACTGTTACATGGTGTGGGGAGGAGAGTTTAGCAACGGCTCCCAGCAGACACGAATCAGTCAGGAGGACCTCCTAATTGGTTGCTTATTGGACCTAGATACCGGCCTCATGACGTTTACAGCCAATGGGAAAGAGATCAACACCTTCTACCAGGTAAGTGTCATGCACTTAGGATGACCACCAGCATGACTGTGAAAAGGAGAACACCCATGAAAAGCTGTTGGGCAGGGGAAGCGGGGGTTAGATTATACATATACTATGGAAGATTTATCACAATAATTATCTTGTTACCTCGATAGAATGACATAAAAAATTCTTTAATGCATGGCTGTTCTCGGCTTCCATAGTTGTTGTGTCTGTGTGTTTCATGTTTTTTTTGTGTGACTGGGGCTAGTAGCACTAGTTGTTGATGGGGAGGTGGTTGGGGGGGAGAGAAAAAGGAGGACACCCAACAGTAGTCCAGAGGCTGAAAGACCAGACTGTCCGGACGAAATCCGGACGAGTGGTCACCCAACATACAGTTCTTGTGTGCTTGCTGAGCTGAGATAAATTTGTGTAATATTGACATTCTGTGTTTTAGGTGGAACCGAACACCAAGCTGTTTCCAGCTCTGTTTGTTATACCGTCCAGTCAGAATGTGCTTCAGTTTGAGCTGGGTAAACTAAAGGTCAGAACCTTTCAAGATTATTTGATTATTGCCTCTGAATTGATAATTGCATTTTCCATTAAAAACTCTGCCTTTACATATGGGGTCTTCTCCCCTTCTCCTGTTGCACACTCACTCCCCACCTTCCCTTTCTCTTCCTTTCTTCAGAACATCATGCCTATATCTGCTGCGATGTTCCGCAGTGAACGTAAGAACCCGGTTCCGCAGTGTCCTCCGAGGCTGGATGTACAGATGCTGACGCCAGTGATATGGAGCCGCATGCCCAACCACTTTCTGGCTCCGCGCACTGCCCGAGTGAGCGAAAGGCATGGATGGATGGTTGAGTGTACTGAGCCCCTCATCATGATGGCGCTTCACATCCCTGAGGAAAACAGGTCGGCAAGAACCACACTAGACAAGAGTCTAATCCTTAAATCTGAGTGATTGTGGCTCTTAGACTTTCTTATGGTGAAAAGCTTGCTAAATTGGAAGTTGGGTGAAATAGAATCTCTTGACTTGTTTTTGAAAGTTCAATTCAATTCAATTCAATTAATTTTTGTATTGCACCTTTCACAATAGTGTCACCCCAAAGTGCTTTGCATGGTGTGTTGTGGTACAGTACAACATCATTAAGAGAGAATAGTACAGAAACAGGGAAAAGGGAGGACAAACAAATTAAAGAAAGAAAGAGAGCCAGATGACAATAGTGTACTTGAATATATTGCGTGAACACTAGTCTAGTTATTCAGGAGGCTCATGTCGCTGGAAACTCTTGTCATCCCTCATTTCTCCATCCAGGTGTATTGACTTGCTGGAGCTTTCGGAGCGCTTGGACATGCTGAAGTTTCACTACCACACCCTCAAGCTGTACTGCGCTGTATGTGCTCTTGGGAACAATCGCGTGGCTCATGCTCTATGCAGCCATGTGGATGAGTCCCAGCTCTTCTACGCTATAGAGAACACGTACTTGCCAGGGCCGATACGAAGCGGCTACTATGACCTACTCATCAGCATGCACCTCGAGTCTGCAAAGCGGGCTCGACTCATGACCAACAGAGAGTTCATTGTGCCAATGACAGATGAAACACGCGCAATTACCCTATACTCAGACGCAGACAAGGCTCACGCATTACCAGGTGTGGGTCTTACTACCTGCCTGCGTCCCAAACTGCACTTCTCCCCCACGGGCTTTGTGGGTACAAACCATGACCTCTACACCCTCAGCCCTATCATTCCATTAGAGGTAAGAGATCATGGGGACACGGGGAAAATATACAGTCTCTAGTGTTCAAATATGTCTCTTACTATCTGCTCTTCTCCTGCAGATCTTGAAAACCAAAGCTCTTAACATGTTAACAGAAGCGGTTCAGGATGGTGGACAGGCCATTCGTGACCCTGTTGGGGGCAGTGTGGAGTTCCACTTTGTGCCCATTCTCAAGCTCATTAGCACACTACTAATCATGGGAATTTTTGATGATGAAGACGTCAAGCATATCCTTAAGATGATTGAGCCGAATGTCTTTGGTGGAATGGCTGAGGTAACGGTGGAAGAGGAATCGGGAAGGATGACCGATGAAGAACAAAATCCATTCACCAGCGAAGATGAGGATGATGTAAAAGAGGAAGAGGACAGCCTGGATGAAGGGAGCGAGCTGGAAGATGAAGGAATGGGGGAGGAGGAGGAAGAGCAAATGGAACTGGCAGAGGTGTCAGAGGAAAACCTGCAGAAGATGGGAGAGGGGGAAGGTGATGCAGAGAATTTGGATGGCAAGAAAGAAGCTGAGGATACAGAAAAGGCCGGACAGGCTGACGAGCAGCGGACAGAAGCCAAGGAGGGAGAGGATGGTCTTAAAGAAGGACTGCTCCAGATGAAACTGCCGGAGTCTGTGAAACTGCAGGTATGGCTCCTGTGCAGCTGAAATAAACCTGTTTATTATGTAGCCTTGGGATTCATCAGCCAAAATGGCCTCCGCATTACTAGTGGGGGCACAAATAATATAATGATATCACACCTTGAATCTGTTCTAATGCAGTTGATATATTTAGTACCCATGTCCGATACAACGCGGAATTGCATTGGTATTTGCGTGATGTGTCAATCGGAGAGAAAAACACTATGTGAACTACAACATGATATTAGAAATAGCATATTAACTAGCTGAAAATCTAATTTCTGATATCAGGAATCATAACTAATTATAATTAAATTTTAAAACTTATGTTGAAATGAATGACAAAAAAAGTTTTGAATATTGCTAGCTAAAATTAAATTATCAATATCAAAAACTGGCATTTTAACTAGGTAAAAGTGAATTTCTGATATTTGAATTCTACCTAGTTAGAACTGAATTTTTGATATAAATTAATTAAAGCTAAAATAGCTCGCCATAGGCAATCCACAAGTTAGCGGGTTTGGCACATTTGGTTGAACTGGTTACTATTCAATTCTCGTGAGACTCATAACAAGATGTTTATGATATAATTAAAGTATTATTGTTACTTATTTATAATGCATATAATTACATTATTGGCCACTGCTATTACTGTTTTTATCATTTAATTCATTTTGTTTCATGTAATTACTAACATTTGTAGATGTATTCCCCTAACCCTGTGTTACCCATTGGAAATGTGTACACGATTTTAGTGAATGCGAGGTTTTTCAGGAATGCATTAATCACGTTGTAGCAGGACCGACTGTAATATTAAGCTCTTTCTTACATATTAATTAACCACAAACTAAAACTTAGTGACATACTGATCTCATGTTTATTCATCATTAATGAATCATGACAAATCTTTTATACGCAAGCAATTATTATATTTATTACTATATCTGTTAATTCTATGTCTTTGTGAAATACTGAAGGAACTACTGAAGTAACAAGTAATGAATAACAAGGGAAATACTGATCTCTTGTTTGTTCATCATTAATCAATCATGACGCATCATTTATCTCAAGCAGCTACTGTATTTGTTCATAATCTATTCTTCAGTTGTAACTGAGTTACTAATAAGTATTTGTGCCCCCTCAAGTAAAGTGTTACCCTTCATACAAATCCAGAGTTCTGTACTTCATTCTGCACAAGCACAGTATAGGAAGAAATCTGTCTGTCTTTGACTCTCTTTCAGATGTGTAATCTTCTGCAGTACTTTTGCGACTGTGAGCTGCGTCACAGGGTTGAAGCTATCATCGCCTTTTCTGACCATTTTGTCAGTGAGGTGCAGAACAACCAGCGGCAGCGTTATAATGAGCTCATGCAGGCGTTCACCATGAGTGCTGCAGAGACGGCTCGCAAGACGCGCGAGTTCCGCTCACCCCCACAGGAGCAGGTATGCACAGGCTTGTCACCAGCATGCATCTGTAGGGCTGTAAGAGATCCTAGAACTAAACCTGCACTAAATCTGTTTGTTGCTGTCAGACACAAGTCTAAGACACATTATATGGCTAAAATGATGTGGACATCAGCTTGTCCTACATCTCATTTCAAAGCCAAGGTAATTAAAATGAATTTGGTCTGCCTTTTCTTGCTATAGTAACCCCTTCTCTTCTGCGAAGGTGTTCCATTACATGTTGGAACATTGCTGGTGGAATTTTCTGCCTGTCAGTTGGTATTGATGCTGGGTGCTCAGGTTTTTGTGAGTTTGCCCACCGCTTAACAACTGAACTTGCTTCCAGATTTTGCCACAAGTCATTTCACTGCATTTGACCAGAGCAACTCTAACAGAAATTTGGTGAACTGACTTGTTGGAAAATATGGCATCCTGTGATGTTTCTTATTTGAAAGTCACTTGCGTGTTCTGCCCAACCATCCATTCTGCTATCAGTGTTTGCTGTTGGAAATTGCATAGCTGTGTCCTTAATTATATACCTGTGTCAGCAATGGGTGTGGCTTATTTAGTCAATTCCTCTAATAGGAATGTCCATGTATTTTGGTCATGTGTAAGAAGTAGTTCTAAAGTGTAGAAGGTGTTATTTTGAATGAAGTTAAGTGGTTTCTAGAATAGTACTCATATAGTTAAATAAATGTCATGCAAATTAGTATAAATAAAAATAATTTAGCAATAATAAACAGACTGGTGTTTGTATGTCTCTTACGCACAGATCAACATGCTGCTGACTTTCAAACACCATTCAGAGGAGGGAGTGTGCTCTGTGCCCGAGGAAATCAGAGAATCTCTGCAGTTGTTTCACAATGACCTTCTGGCTCACTGTGGTCAGTTCCTCCCTTAGATATTCTAAACTAAGATTAATGTGGTATCAGTCAGTCATTTTAAGTAAAGTGAGATACAGTAATATTTTGATCTAAGGATGTTAGTTACTGTCCATCTACTGTTAAACCTATTTCTATGCATTTTCCTATTTAATGGTCACAGGTGTGCATATCGAGGAAGAGGAGGAAGAGCAAGAGGAGGACATGTCTCTCAAAGGACGACTTCTTCGTTTGCTGGAGAAGATCAAGAAATTCCGGCGGAGGAAAAGATATGAAGAGCCAGAGTTTGAGGAAGAAATTAAACCCAGTTGAGACATGTTCATTGGTTTTATTTATTTTTCAGATAGTATCATGTATATTTAAAAACTGTTGCCTCACACTCTAATGCACTGGTGTCCCATCCGGGGTGGATCCCTCCCTGGGGCAGTGGACTGCTGGGATTGGCTCTCGCTTCCCCCCCCAACCCTGTAGTGGACAAACAGTTGGAAGATAAAAAATAAAATTAAAAGTACAAATCCAGACCAAGATTTTGTTTCAACCAACCAGTTGAGGACTCTGCGACTGTGACTCTTTATACTCAACTGGTTGGTTGAACAAAATCCTGGTCTGGATTTAATGTGTTGGTTTGCATGTTCTCCCCAGGTTTCCGCCAGGTACCCTTGTTTCCTTTAATGTTCCCATGACCTGCATTTGGGCAAGCTAGTATCCACAGTATGTGAATATGTGCCCTGCAAAGGACTGCGTTCAGTCAAGGGTATTCCCCAGTTTTGTGCTGTCTGGAATAGGCTTCAGAATCCCAGTGTGTTCTTGCACAAATTATGTGACACTTGCACAATTTAGACAAAGGTTTTTCAGCCTGGGCCTTGGGGGACCCCCAGACAGTCCACATTTTTGCTCCCTCCCAACTTCCTACCAGACAGTCCACTTTTTTGGCTACTGAGAGGGAGCAAAAATGTGGACTGTCTGGGGGTATGAGAAATGCTGGAAAATAATCACTGAATTAAATGTTTATTAAAGCAGGCTGAAATGTGAGCTTAGTAAAGCAAGTTTCAGTCCATGCTCCTACAATAATTGTGTTACTATCAGAGTCACCTGACATGTGCCTTTGGGGTTAATTTGACCCCAGGGTATGTATGAGAGTTACATGAATTAGTAGCTTTGGTTTGAGGGCAAGGGGCATTGGGTAGAGACTTTCAGGGGCCCAGCCGTGTCTTTGTGCTGTCCCCTAAATTCCCCCAAACACGTGGAGAACATGTAAACTCCATACACAAAATGATGGCGTTAAATTAAAATAACTATCCACTTCACTGCCCAGCATCTTCAGTATTTAATCATAAAATGTAATGTTTAATTTTAATTAATTTCTTTAAGTAAGCATGCACATCCTGGTCTCTTATTGAATGTAGGCTTTAATGGCAACTTGTCTCTGTTTTCAACCACTCCTGTGTCAAAGGCACTCTACAAGAGCTTATATCTCACACCATGATCCACTGGGCCCAGGAATCCTTTATCCAGAACCCAGAGCTGGTGCGCCTTATGTTCAGCCTGCTCCACCGGCAGTACGACGGACTTGGGGAGTTGATCCGTGCGCTGCCGAAAGCCTACACCATCAACTGCGTATCAGTGCAGGACACCATGGATTTGCTGGAATGCCTGAGCCAGATACGCTCGCTGCTCATCGTCCAAATGGGACCTGAGGAGGAGAGACTCATGATCCAGAGCATTGGGTTGGTCAACAGAATGTGCCCATACACGAAGGGAAATGCCCATCTGTTTAATATGGATGAAAATATAAAACAATTCAGTTTCAGGAGAATGAAATATATTTCTAACACTTTCTTGGTCAGGAACATCATGAGCAACAGGGTATTCTATCAGCACCCCAACCTGATGCGTGCTCTGGGCATGCATGAGACCGTCATGGAGGTCATGGTGAATGTGCTGGGGGGTGGAGATTCCAAGGTATTCTTTCTTAATCACGCTCATTCACAACGAGTTTAAATTTAAATTTAGAATCCCATAATCTCAGTATCTGATCATATACATTCAGTATTTGAAATTGGTTACTGTTATATAGTTAAGAAAAGCAGCCCTATTAAAGCTTTCTTCTAGACAATTTATACATTTTCTTGATTGTCATTGGAGTGGTATTTGGTAGTGGTATATGGTAATGGTAAAGGTTGCCAGTGGTAATTTGAGGTTTGTCCATTGACTTGAAAACTTGACTTACTCATACCTAGATGGCATTGCCTACTATAGTGGATTAGCGGTTATCAATGGTAGCTTTTCAGTTAGCTGGCCCACCACTCCACCGGAGTACTGTGTTGCGCTACAACATCACTAGTCGATAGGAATTTTTCAGTTCCATTATAGTCTTATGAGACCCCCGTTAAATATCCGTCATGGACTGAAACATCATTATGTGGTGCATGACTGGATAAAGTTTTATCGGGTAAATGGAGTATTCAAAACATACTTAATTTGTGAGCTAAAGGAGCTGATTTTGTAGATTTCTTCATAATCTATACTTCTGCAATGTTTTTAACCAATTGTCTTCCTAGGAAATCCGCTTTCCAAGGATGGTGACCAATTGCTGTCGCTTCCTGTGTTATTTCTGCCGAATCAGTCGGCAGAACCAACGTTCCATGTTTGATCACCTCAGCTACTTGCTTCAGAACAGCGGCATTGGTTTGGGTGAGGGACGATGCCACACATTATTCAATAAAGTAAAATCAGGCATAATTATCTATCTTATAATGATAATGCTGCACTCCGCCTTGTGCAATGAAGGTGATGGAACACAGGTAGATCTCACACGGTGTGCTTTTCAGGAATGAGAGGCTCGACCCCTCTGGATGTAGCAGCAGCATCTTGCATTGATAACAATGAGCTTGCCTTAGCTCTGCAGGAACAGGACCTAGAGCAAGTAAGAGATACTACCCTCTAATACCTCATATATAAGACTTTCTTTTTGTTTTTCATTTTTATAAACGGCAATAAGAACCAGGGGCGGGGCCACAGAGGTACTGCCCTCAGCTGACAGCTAATTAGTCAGCAGAGTGTCCCCTCCCCTGTCACTTCCCAGTTCAAAACTTATCATTGGGTGATGCTAAAGTTGTCCCCTCTGTATGAATTATAGCCCCTCTATGCCCCCAACCTTAAAAAAAAAAGTGAATTTCCCCTGACAAAAATGCATACTTTCTCTTTCCATATTTCTGTGTGCCAGGTGGTGAAATACCTTGCAGGTTGTGGGCTACAGAGTTGTCCCATGCTCCTGTCTAAAGGCTATCCTGACATTGGCTGGAACCCCTGTGGCGGAGAGCGATACCTTGACTTCCTCCGTTTTGCTGTTTTTGTCAACGGTGTGTTTGTACATACTACCACCTGTCTGTAGCTGGCTGATGTTACTGTTGAATTTCTACCACACATATCAATGCAATAAGTATTGCGAAACCACAATGGCAGAATATATCCTTGTTTGGCCTGCGACCACTTCTTTCCTTTCTCCACCAACTAGGAGAGAGTGTGGAAGAGAATGCAAACGTGGTGGTACGTCTGCTGATCCGAAGGCCCGAGTGCTTCGGGCCGGCCTTGAGAGGGGAGGGCGGCAATGGTTTGCTGGCTGCCATTGAGGAGGCCATTAAAATATCAGAAGATCCGGCTCGGGATGGACCCACTGTTAAAAAAGACAGACGATTCCCCATGTGAGGCCTGACTTGCTTGCAAAAGGATGATTTTGCGTAGGGTTGCCATAGGGTGCAGACTTACGTACCCATGTGTGTCCCTTATTATGGCAGGTTTGGTGGGGAAGAGCAGCAGGAGGAGAACAGGGTGCATCTTGGGAATGCCATCATGTCTTTTTACGCTGCTCTCATCGATCTGCTGGGCCGTTGTGCCCCTGAAATGCATGTGAGTCTGCTTTTGTGACAGGAAAGCATCGAGTATTACTAAAGAATTAGCATTTGTAAATGCTGAGCTAATGATCCCTGTTGAAAAAAAAAAACAGCTTAAGCTATTTAACCTGGTTGACCAATTTTGTGATGGTTAGCCATCTTAAGGTATGTTTTCACAGGTTACACTTTACTTGAGGGGACATGAATAATGTAGTAGTACATGCTTACGTAATGCATTAATTAATTAACTCATTTACTACTCAAGAAGTCAAGAGTTCAGTAACTAGCATTTTATGTTTGTTACTCCTGTTTAATAGCTAATCCAAGCAGGTAAAGGTGAGGCTTTGAGAATCAGGGCCATCCTGAGGTCGCTCGTGCCCATTGAAGACCTGGTGGGCGTGATCAGCCTGCCTTTCCAAATCCCAGCCTTTGGGAAAGGTGAGGAAAAAGACATGATCTTGTGTTTGAGCACTTTTTCTAGCATAATCACTTTAAAAAAAAAAATTCAAAACAATTCTCCTTTTTTTTATAGTTGCATTGTTGGAAGTGAATTGTATGCAGTGAACTTAATACAATACATACAATATTAGCTTGTCTTAGATCTAATTTCAACTCAGTTTTATATTTCTACTCATTTTTAATTTTGATACCCTTCATATTTGTTTCTTGATTCATTTATGTTGCCCTTCGTGGCCAACTTACTACAAAGAGCAAGTTGGGGGAGGTGTAAAGAGAATTTCCCCACAGGGATCAATAAAAGTATCAATTATTATTATTATTTTCTTTTTGGGAAGTTAATATGTTAATGTGTTGTTATTGTATTGCTGATGGACAATTCCAGTTTCCATCGGGGCTCCATGTGGTTCAGTCTCATCATTTCCTTTTTAGACGGCAGTGTCATTGAACCAAAGATGTCAGCCAGCTTTGTGCCTGATCACAAGGCCCCCATGGTGCTCTTCTTGGACAGAGTCTACGGCATTGACAACCAGGACTTCTTGTTGCATGTGCTGGAAGTCGGTTTCCTTCCAGACATGAGGGCTGCAGCCTCCCTTGATACAGTGAGTCTCAGCTATTGTCGTTAAATGTGTCTCATATCCATGCGATTGTCTGTCCTTATTGACTTGCCATGGATGAATCATTGTGTCTTTATCACTCTGACTAACAGGTTCTCTCTCCACTCACCAGGCGGCGTTCAGCACCACGGAGATGGCCCTGGCCCTTAACCGTTACCTTTGCCTGGCCGTATTGCCCCTCATCACCAAATGCGCCCCGCTTTTTGCGGGCACTGACCACCGTGCCATTATGATCGACTCCATGCTTCACACCATTTATCGGCTGTCACGTGGTCGCTCTCTCACAAAAGCCCAGAGGGATGTCATTGAAGAGTGCCTTATGTCGCTATGCAAGTAAGTCTCCGTGGTGACCCTCCCTGATCAGTCTCATTCAGTTCATCTCTGTTTGTTTGTTCTGTTTCTGCTATGAATTTATCAAAATGAGATATGTAATTCTGTAATAAATAAGGCACACTGCAATTTTAACAACATTGACCAAATAATGAACAGGAGACTCTAAGCTAGCTAAAGTGAGTACGAACAATGTGCTAGCTTTGAAACTTTTTAAGAGCATGTAGCTTCCTTTGTTTACATATACCAATCTTAATAATATATGTGTGGAGTGTTCTACAACCTCTTACTATAAACGACCAACTATTGATAGCCAAAATTCACATACAGGCTATCGATAAATTATGATCACTCATGGGGCTAGCTTCATTACTCTGCTTAAAATTACAATATGAAACCCAAGGAATTATTGTACACCACTAACACATCTTTCATTTGATTCTCAATACCCATCGTTTCCTTTTGAATCTGTCCCCCAGGTATCTGCGGCCTTCTATGCTTCAGCATTTGTTGAGGAGGCTAGTGTTTGATGTGCCGATACTGAATGAATATGCGAAGATGCCACTTAAGGTAGAGCGCTGCTCGTTTTAATGCTTTGCTGGAGAGATTACAGTACAGCCCAAGTATAACGTGGAAACTAGGAGCTGAAGGTAGATCAGCAGGTTAAGAAGGTTCCCGCTGTACTGAAAAGATTAAAACATGGGCAGTTCTAGACTCGTGAAGTGATCCGTTTTGCAAACCCTTACGTAAATCAAATTTAAGAAAGTTGGATGTATCCACCATACCATACAAGATGCCTGAATTTTTAATCCCAGTCTGGCCCTCATAGCAAAGCCACATAAGCTAAAAATATACTAGTAATACATATTAATGAACATATATTAAACAAATGAGAAGATAAAATGTGAACTTGTGTTATACAGTATATATTCATAGCAATGATGTAATTTTTTTCATTTATTTTGGTGACTTTTGAAAGCTGTTGACAAATCACTATGAACGCTGCTGGAAGTACTACTGCCTGCCCAATGGCTGGGCCAATTTCGGGGTGTCTTCAGAGGAGGAGCTGCATCTCACCAGGAAACTCTTCTGGGGCATCTTTGAATCCCTGGCCCACAAAGTAAGGACCTTACTTTCAGAACTATTACTGAATATCTTAGTTACACCAATGTTGGGACCAATGTTGTGGTGAATTTTCAAAGTGATACCATAACAATGATCAACAGTGCTGATACTAAATTAAACACTATCCATTCAGAAAAATGCAGATAATGGCTGTTCCTATAAAAATAACTTTTAATAAGGCTACTACTAAGCACGATCCCCTGTCTTTCTTTTTACAGAAGTACGATGCAGAGCTGTTTAAAATCGCGATGCCGTGTATCTGCGCCATTGCTGGGGCCATCCCCCCTGACTATGTAGACGCCAGTTACTCTTCCAAGACCGAGAAGAAGGCCTCTGTTGATGCTGAGGGAAATTTTGACCCTAAACCGGTGGAGACCACAAAGTGAGTGTGTATAATAAGTGTGGGTTTAAGGGAACATCTGAGAGGGTGCAGTGAAGAAGGGGATGGTGTGGCTCAGGGGGCTGGCAGTCGGTGTCCTTCATCAGAATGTTGCCGGTTCAAATCCCCCGTTTGGACCTTGGGTACTTGATCAAGACCGTTAACTTCAAACGCTCCATGGACTGGTTGATCCTGCTCTCTCAGTTGTAGTTCTCTTTGATTAAAAGGATCTGCAAAGTAAAAGAAAAGAGAAATAGTGATGTGGAAAAATGATTGTATAAAGGAAATAATTCTGGGGTTAATCTTACATATTGTGTTTGTTATATTCACTGCGCACATTAATATGGTAGTGCTGTTCTTTGATTGTAGCACCATCATCCCTGAGAAGCTGGATGCTTTCATCAACAAATATGCAGAATACACTCATGACAAGTGGGCTTTCGAGAAGGTGAGTTTCAGCTTAGTGCCCGCCGGGGACCAGCATTTTAGATGTTCAGTAATTATGCCATTGCCACACAGATCAGTTCTTAAAAATCTCTCTCGATAATGTTCCCATGGTATTAATATTATTAAAAATGCTAATTTGATCATGAACAAAATGCACTCAGTTGCCTGTTTATTATGTGTACCTGCTTGCTAATGCAAACAGCCTATCCCTTCAAACAGCTAAGCATATAGTCTCAACTGAATGCATACAGCAGATAAACAGGGTCAAGAGGTTCACTTAATATTCCCCTAATCATTAGGATAGCTCAGGTTTCTGATTTTAGTAGAGTTTGAATGTGGTTCTGATTGCTGGTGCCGTATGTGGTGGTTTTAGTTCTCAGAAACAGCTGCTTTCCTGGGATTTTGGCACAACACAGTGTCCAGAGTATACCAAGAATGACGTGTTGAATAAAGAATGCCCACTTAATGCCCACCCATTTTTATGATAAAAAAAAAAACATCCTAATGAGAGAGAATAGAAGAGAATGATTACACTGCTTAAAGCTAACAGGAAGGCCACAAGTGCAAAAATAACAGCTCAGGACAACTGTGGTGTATCAAATGCACAACTCATTTACTTTTACATTCTAGGGTTAGAAGTGAACCCACCTAGTACCAGGGCTAGATTGAGATTAATCAGCCCTGGACTTTGGGGTCCTCCTCAACTTCACAGTAAATGAATGGGGTGTGTGTGTGGGGGTGCCAGCCCACATAACCTTTGGTGAAAATGCCCAGCATGCCGGATGGCCTGTCCCGCCCTGACTAGTCCTGGCTAGGTGTATGTAATAAAGTGGCCATTGAGTGCATGATGCTGTAACTTCATTGTTTCCTGTTGCTCTCCCTGCTCTTAGATCCAGAGTAACTGGACGTACGGAGAGCTGCTGGATGAGAATGCGAAGACTCACCCCATGCTCAGACCATACAAGACTTTCTCTGAGAAGGTTACAGGCACTAGGCAGTCGTAATTGACAAAGTGTCACATTGCAATGTTCCTCTGCCATACCTTATTTCAGTTGTCAATATTTTACTGATTTCATTTCATCACAGTTGTTTGTTTGTTTCAATAACATCTCATCATGCCTCAGGACAAGGAGATCTACCGCTGGCCCATAAAGGAGTCCATCAAGGCGATGCTAACCTGGGAGTGGACGCTGGACAAAGCCCGAGATGGGGATGATGATAAGACGGAGAAGAAGAAGACAACCCGCAAGATCTCACAGACAGCACAGGTAAAGACAAAGGAGAAAAAAATACCCGGTGGCTTTATAAGGGATGTGGCTTTGTGTGATAAGTCAATGTTTCAAATCATTTGGGCTTTTGCTTTGCAGGCGACCTATGACCCAAGCCACGGTTATAATCCCCAACCCATTGATGTGACAGGCATGGCTCTGTCTAGAGAGTTACAGGTACCAAAAGGGGGCGCTTCTAAGAGCTCTGGATGCATAACACAAGTTCTGCTGAAGCCGTTCTAAAATCCTGTTTCCCTCTCTGCAGGCCATGGCGGAACAGCTGGCTGAGAACTACCACAATACTTGGGGTAGAAAGAAGAAAGTGGAATTACAGGCCAAAGGTCAGGGCAACATCATCCGGATTTTAACAAAAGCATAACGACAGTAAAAACCAGGCAAAGCAGCTTCTAATAACTTAAATCAGTTGATCGCTGTTAGTTATGCCCTGAAAATGTTTTAATTTGATTGCCGTATGCTTTGGGTCAGGGGTCACTAACCTCTTTGAAACTGGGAGCTGCTTCACGGGTACTGAGCCATTCGAAGGGCTGCCAGTTTGATACACTCTTCTTAAATAACAAATTTGCTCAGTTTACCTTTAGTTATAAATTATTATTATTATTAATGATTAATAATACTCATCTACTGTATGTGAAGACACTGATCACGTTTATGATTTCATCAATAAAATTATAAAATTAAATTTTAGACGCTGCTCACTGGTGAGTTGTGCTATTTTTAGAACAGGTCCGTGGGTGACTCATGTGGTCCTTGGGGGCATCCTGGTGCCCGTGGGCACCATGTTGGTGACCCCTGCTTTGGGTAGTGAATGATTATTGTATGTGTTGTCACCCGTAGGAGGTGGAACCCACCCCTTGCTGGTGCCTTATGACACCTTAACTGCAAAAGAGAAGGCAAGGGACAGAGAAAAAGCTCATGAGCTTCTCAAATTCCTGCAGCTGAATGGATATGCTGTCACTAGGTATGCCGTCACAATTAGCGTGATCAGCGATTGAGAATTTGTTAGACTAACCACACCCATAAAAGTAGCGTGTTAAAATTAAATTCGTGACTATGTCCCTCTCTCAGAGGACTGAAGGACATGGAGTTGGACACTTCTTCTATTGAGAAGCGTTTTGCCTATGGTTTTCTGCAAAAGCTGCTCAAGTGGATGGATATTGCACAGGAGTTCATCGCCCATCTAGGTACTAAAGAGTAACATACGAAATGGAACGACCTTAAGATTGTACGATTATATCAAATTTATATAATCGAGAATTATATATGGCCAGTCGATTTGCATTGTTATTTGGTTAAATTGGCACAGCAATAAAAGCAGTACCAGATTTACCTGTTGAAGATGGCCGATTTGTGAGTTTGAAGAATGTTGATGTGACTTACGAGTACGACGCGAATCACAGGTAGCATTTCATGTATGTTTGCAGAGGCTGTGGTGAGCAGTGGGAGGGTAGAGAAGTCGCCACACGAGCAAGAGATTAAATTCTTTGCCAAGGTGAGATGATGTTACGCTGGTTATCGACACCACATAAATGTGTTTATACCTTTGTGTGGCATGTTCCTTATATATAGGTGTATGTGTGTGTGTGTCTGTGTGTGTCTATACACACACACACACACATGCAGGGGTTGGACAATGAAACTGAAACACCTGCTCAAGGTTTCACACCTATATATGCACAAATTGATGGCCAGTCTTCACTGATTGCATATTCCATCAGTAGGAGCAGAGTGTGAAGGTTGAATTAGCAGAGCACACTGGTGCTAGCAACACAAATCTTGAGCTGTGGACAATGTGTTGCTGCTCTCTGATGAGTCCACCTTCACCGTCTTTCCCACATCTGGGAGAATTACGGTGTGGAGAAGCTCCAGAGAGGCTCACCACCCAGACTACTGCGTGCAGCACAGGGGTGGATCATTGATGGTTTGGGCTGCAATATCATGGCATTCCCTCGGCCCACTACTTTTTCTAGATGGGTGCATCATTGTTAAGGACTGCTGAAACATTCTGGAGGACCGTGTTCACCCAGTGTTTCAAACATTGTACCCTGAAGGTGGTGCTGTGTATCAGGATGATAATGCACCAATACACATAGCAAGATTGGTGACAAAGTGGTTTGATGAACATGAAAGTGAAGTTGAACATCTCCCATGGCCTGTACAGTCACCAGGTCTGAATATTATTGAGTCTCTTTGAGGTGTTTGGAAGGAGCGAGTCAGGAAACGTTTTCCTCCACCAGCATCATTCCCAAGACAAAAGGAGGCCCTACACCATAATAGTAAATTATTGGGGTCTAAAACCAGGTGTTTCAGTTTATATACTGACACATATCTATGCATATATCAGCAGTTGCATTAATAAGTTATGTTTATACCACAGATCCTGTTACCCCTGATAAACCAGTACTTTAAGAACCATTGTCTATACTTCCTCTCCACTCCTGCCAAAATGCTTGGCAGTGGAGGCCTTTCATCCAACAAAGAGAAGGAGATGATCACCAGGTACCTGCCTTACTCAGCCCCACAGAGCTACACAAAGGCTGTTACTTACAAACTTCACCACAAATGCAGACTTGCTGTTTTCTCTAATAACAGTAAAATATCCCGTTTGTTGTACATCAAGTTCGACATTTATCATTATTCAGAATCAAAATTACTGTTTAACCACGAAAATCACAATGTGTTTAACCTGTCTTATGTCAGTCAGATTTCAGAAGTCAGTTGGTGGTAACTGGAAGATATCACAAGGAAGGAAGTCATTTCTGAACACTAATTTGTTTAGAGATAAATTTTACGTTGAAACTACACAGTGGTTTATATGTGGGATTTCATTTTTTTTTTTGTACTTGAATACACCTTGTTGGGACAGTTTCTGGGCTAAAGGTGCAGATGCCTTCTTATGCTCTTAGTTATATATTAGTTAACCACAAATGAAGTCTTAGTTGCATACTGACCTAATGCTCGTTCGTCATTAATGAATCGTGACGCATCTTTTATCTCAAGCAACGACTATATTTGTTCATGATTTGTACTTCAGTAATAACAGAGTTACTTATGTAACTGCGTTCAGTATTTGTGCCCCCTCAAGTAAAGCGTTACCAAAGCATTATATTAAAATGTAAATAAAGAGTGGGCTGTTTAAAATGTACCTGATAACAATTTAGTGGTGCCACGTATCTCTATACTGTACCATTACAGCTTAGCCTATATTTACCGTTAATGAACACGTTAGTTTTTTTCTTTTGCACCCGACCTCCCATCCTGCCGGTTTACTCCTCTCCCTGTCTATATCTTTGAGCTCATTCCTCTGTTCTGGACCTGTGATCACCCTTCCCTTTCCTTGCCTCAACGTTTCTCTTCTTTGCTTCCTGTCTTTCTTTTTCTCTTCCTCCCTATCTCCTGCTTTAGTATCTTCTGTAAAATGGCTGCTCTGGTGAGACACAGAGTTTCTCTTTTTGGTAAGAAACCCGCATTCTTGATCTTCCCATTTTCCTCGTTCTTGTTCTCTGCTGTTTTTGTCTTTGATTGTCATGCCTTCCGTATATTCCTTTCTGCCATCCTTAAGAATAGTTTTGTTCTCATTCTCCAGTACTTATGTATATTATCCTCTTTCCGTTCCCCTGCCTCCTTCTCCTTGAATGACTTCACTGTGAACATTGTGGGCTTCTCTCACTAGCTTGGCTGTAGCATGTCTCCTCTCCACAGAGACGGCCATGAAACGGTGCTGGGACACCCCTAATTTCTGTCTCAAAGGTCTATGCTCCAGGGGTTAATCATCAAAAATATAGTACATGATATTATATAAAGCTCGATTCCGATCACCTAGAATTCAGTTACTATTTTGGTTGTACGACTGCAGGGATGATGGAGAGGCAGGGATATGCTGGCAGATTCGGGGGGGCAGCACTTTAATAGGGGCCCTTGAATATGTAAAATTACACTTAAAATTGGGTGGGGGCTCCCAAGGTGACATTCTGTCATGAGGCCCAGAATTTCTAGGTGTGCCTACTAAGTCGGCAGCCATTCTATAATGTATTAAATTCTATCATAAACATTGCTAAGTACTGGAGTATGAAGTACTGAGTAGGAAGTATTGGAGTACAAAGTACCTAGTAGGTGAGGCCAGCATGGAGGGAACTGGCCTTTTTTGAATTGCAGTTTTGTTAATTTTATTTCCGGAGTTTCCCAAAATGAATCCATAAGCTAAAATAAATTGTAACACAGGACACAGTGATGACACAGTGCTGCTGTTTAGTTTAGTGAACTTGAAGCAGTACTTCTTTTTTGCTATGTTGCCTTCACTGTGTATATCTGCTAGATACTATTATTAAAATAGTTGCACTTAATAATTCTTTAACTAGAAATACTTTAATTTTGCTCTGTATGTAATACTAAAAACCGTGTTTCTTGCAGTTTTTTATTGGACAGCCTGGTCACTACCTTCGTTTGTATGGTTGCTTTTGCGTTAACGATTCTGCCCTGCATGTTGTGTACAGGGACAGATGCCTCTGCTATCGTCAACTGTCTGCACATTCTTGCACGATCCTTGGATGCAAGGTACAGTTCTTTGTCCATCATGGACAGCTGGAACTAGGGTGGGTCAAGTGAAGGAGCTTTATTGTCATTTTACACACGTGAAATGAAACTGAGTTTCTATGGAGCAGCATACAGCCAGAACAAGAAAATGTTGAGAAATAATAATCACCCGACAATAAAAAATGGGGGGAGAATAAATGAAGAATTAAATGAATGAATGAATGAATGAATGAATGAATGAATGAAGAATTAAATAAACAAATGAATAAATAAAAATACAATAGCAAAAAAGTACACCACAATAAACAACAACAAATGACACAATGTAAATAATACAAGTAAACAGTGGTGCCGGACAGTGCATATGGACAGTAGACTATGCAAATAACAGAATCAATGTAGTGCAATTGTGCATTTATCAGCGTTTATGGGGTAGGTGGGAGTTGAGGAGTCTGATAACCTTCGGGAAAATGCTGTTGCAGAGCCGGGTAGTTGTGGTGGACTGGATAGTCTGGAACCCTTTTCCAGTCACGTATGGTATTCATGTGATGCCTGATACATTTTCAGTGCCGATTGGATGTGACATTTACCACAGTAAGAATGACGATTATTGATTAAACAATCAACAGTGTAATGTAAGATGAGTCTGTTTTATACAAAAAAAAATTATGCTTTCTGTATTTTACAAGAATTTGCTATCGCTTTATTTTGTTTGTCTTTTTTTCTGTGCCTCAGGACAGTAATGAAGTCAGGGCCTGAGATTGTCAAGGCAGGACTAAGGTCCTTCTTTGAGAGCGCTGCAGATGACATTGAGAAAATGGTAGAGAACCTCAAGCTTGGCAAAGTATCAAACCGTAGCCAGGTGAGACATTTTCACTGTTAAGTTATTCACTTTTTATTTCTGGACTTGTTGGAGTTGTTGCCACACTGCTAGATTACTAATTCAATTTATTTATGTCAAATAGCAGGTGAAGGGTGTATCTCAAAACATCAACTACACTACTATAGTTCTGCTCCCTGTGCTCACTTCCCTGTTCGACCACATTGCTCAGCACCAGTTTGGAGACGATGTCATGTGTAAGTCAATGTTGAAACAATGATCAACAAAGCTTTAAAAATGTAGTCCTGTAGACCATGTCACTAAACATCTAATAATATATGGAATTAGGGCTGGGCAATATGCCCTAAAGATGATATCGCAATATTTTCACAATTTTGATATTTATCATGATAGTCTAAAATTCTTATGTAGAAAACAATAAAATGTGATAGGTGACTTGGAGATTTTCTGATTATGATGACCAAATGTTTTTACAAATAGTTACGGAGCATGTGACAGGTATGATGGTAACAACAGAATCATACCTTAATGGAATTTGTGTAAAAATAGTGCATTACAACTGTTAGTTATGCAAGAAAAGAAATGTTTACCTTACATCACGATACTCAAGATATTCAAATCGATGACAACATGCCTATTCATAGTCTTGATACAATATTTTATCAATATATGGCCCAGTCCTATATGGAAGCATCTGTGAGTAACCCAATAATTAAACACCGTGTTTCGGTCTACAGTGGATGATCTGCAGATGTCATGCTATCGCATTATGTGTAGCATCTATTCACTGGGCACCGTTAAGAATCCGCATGTTGAAAGGTGAGTCGGTACCTCTCTTTGTGTCGGACTATGGACTATAGAAATGTTGCGGTGCTTGGGAATGGGTGATGATGGAGGCTTTGACGCTCCTACAGGCAGAGACCAGCCCTGGGGGAGTGTTTGGCTCACTTGGCAGCAGCCATGCCTGTTGCATTCCTGGAACCGCATCTTAACGAGTACAACGCCTTCTCTGTATACACCACAAAGACACCTCGTGAAAGAGCCAGTGAGTTCCTCACCCTTATTCTTTCGCTTTGTTATCTTTGTATCTTCATTTATCTCTTTCTCTCAATGTCCTTGTGCAGTCTTGGGTCTTCCAAGCCAAGTACAAGAGCTGTGCCCAGACATACCTGAACTGAATATTCTAATGAAGGAGATCGGGGATCTGGCTGAATCGGGGGCCCGTTACACAGAGATGCCCCATGTCATTGAAGTCACCCTACCCATGCTGTGCAACTACTTGCCCCGCTGGTGGGAGAGAGGTTTGGAGAATTTCCCTGAGCATGAAGGACAACTGTGCACTGAAGTCACCTCAGAGCACCTTAATCAGCTGCTGGGGAGCATCATGAAAATTGTGGTGAACAACCTAGGCATTGATGAGGCCTCCTGGATGAAGAGACTTGCTGGTGAGGAGACATCGTATTGTATTATAAAGTGAAAATGAGGAGAGGTGGATTTTGTGTAATAGTTGGTTTTTCTTCTAAACTGTAAACCAAATCTGCAGTTGAAAACACAGGTGTCTACATAGGGAAGTTCCGGAGATTTCAAGAGTGACTGCTTCGTAAGTGTTGGAAATAGGTTGACTGGAGTGGCCCCTCTGGTGCTGCTGGAGCAGGTTCTCCACAATGTTATTCTGCAAGCCCAGCAGACCTGCAGACGACTGTGTTAGTGGCAGATCAGGAGAAGCAGAGGGGCCACCAGGCATGCTTCTAGCGTAAACAAAGGAATGACTCAGATGAGGCACTATACTTTTTTTTCCCCCTTAATGCTAACTTTAAAAACTTTGGAATGTTTGTCACGATCCAAGAGGAATCACTGTCCTATCTCTGTGCTCTGCCATCCTCAGTTTTCTCTCAGCCCATCGTGAGCAGGGCTAAATCAGAGATGCTCAAGTCTCACTTCATTCCCACCATGGAGAAGCTGAAGAAGCGCACAGGAAAGGTGGTGGCTGAAGAGGAACATCTACGCCTAGAGGGGAAGTCGGAGGGAGACCAGGAGGACGGCACAATCCGCGACGAGTTTGCTGTGCTGTGCAGGGACCTCTATGCTCTCTATCCCTTACTCATCCGATACGTGGACAACAACAGGTAAAGAGGAAAAGTAGAATCTGGGTTTAATCTGATATCTGCACTTTCTGCACAGTTCCACAATATGGTTTTCACATTCATATGGCTGAACCAGGGACAGAGCCAGATCTGTTCACATATCTATTAGGGTGGGGGAGGAGCATAGCCACACCTGGCCACCCTTTAAATCTACCCCTGGACTGGACTTGAATGCGTTTCCCACATTCGATGCGTCTCTGTCTTAGGGCAAGGTGGTTAACCTGCCCGGACCCTGACGCCGAGGAGCTTTTCCGGATGGTGGGAGAGGTTTTCATCTTTTGGTCAAAGTCTCATGTGAGTCTTTACTCATTGCCACTGTTTTGACTCTCATCACATTTGCTTTTCCTTCTAACGAAATATTATTCTCTTGCTTTGTTTTCTCATACTCACCCTCTTTTCCTTCGTAGAACTTTAAACGCGAGGAGCAGAATTTTGTGGTGATGAATGAGATCAACAACATGTCCTTTCTCACTGCTGACAGTAAGAGCAAGATGAGCAAGGTGAGGTCAGAGATGCTAGGCTGATTATGTGTGAGTGATAGATTGTGTTCGTTTGTGGGATGCCGATGATTTGGATTACGGTCTGGGTATGAAATGTGACTATAGCAGCATAGTAAATAGTACCGTATAGTGGTACATAGGGTCATTTTCGACTTGTTTGAGGTTGACTTTCTAGTTCCATATAAAAAGAGGATTTTAAATACCCTCATCTGTGAAGCAACTGTGTTGCTACTATATTGCATTGAGTGAAGAATGGAGTCTGTGATGGAAAAAGAAGAGATATGAGTGAGAGCATCCATGAGTGATTCTGTAGCTGCCCCTTCTTTGAATGTGAGTGAGCGTCCTAAGGTATGCCACACTGAGAGAATTCGGTCAGAAATAGCAACAGAAGTATGCATTTCATATATAACTTTGTGGCCATTCTCTGTGTTTCGCATTGATTTTCCATCTGCCGTGTCTTCACCTGCGGTCTGAGGGCATTTGCCCTTTAGGTGAGGTCAGTGTGTGTGTGTCGCTGATGAGCCGCTGCAGGTGTATTAATGGTATTCTCTCTCTGACTGTCTCCTGTCCTGTCTCTGTGTTGACGCTGGGTCGCTAGGCCGGGGCCGCTGAGGTTAGATTCTGTTTCTGCACGACAGCTGTGCTGACCGCATGGCACCTCATGTTTCGAGGGTCTTTCATCAACCCCCTTCCGCGCGTCGACGCGCTCAGCTGCCAAGCACACTGGTGCCCATGGGTGACGCTCTAGTTTAATGGCTTACTGTCTTCCTATACCCCACATAGATGGGATGTATCTTGATATTGTTGTCCTGTACTGTTTTGCACCCACTTTGAACAAGATGCACATTAGGCACAGAAGTCGTAAAGTGTTCTGTGACGTGCTACGTTACCTGGAGACAGGATAGTAGCCGCACCGAGACAGCGGGCGGCCTGCTGTCCCACCAGTGTGTGATGGGTGTGGTGGGAGGGGCGTGATGAAAGCCCTCTGCAGTGGAGACAGGCTTGCGCCACTTGGCTTCACGATGGTCTTTTGGAGGCACGGAAGCCATGGAGACCCTCGGTGCAGCTGCTCAAGCTGAGTCCATCATCCTGCCCATGAGTTTGCATTCAGTTGGTTTTCTTGTTTGATGGAAATATTCATGTCTACCTCTCCTTTTTTTCTTGTTGATGGTTGGTCTTTTTAGCAACGGATGTCCGTGTCACAAAGGGGGTCTCGTTTCCATCGTCATCCATTGTAGGCCCCTCCTCCTATTAATTTCATTGTCCTATTAACTCCAAGTGAATCCCTCTAACTTGAATAATCTCATTTCTTCACCGATGTTTAACCTTTGATCTAACTCTTGCCAATGGTTGTGTATTTGTAGAGGGTTTAAAAGGGGTGAATGCGGGGCGGGGGGGTTACCCTCTATAACAAAATGAGGAATCCAGCCTTATGGGAAGCTGTGCTCTCCCTGTTTTACATAAATAAAATATTCCTTATCTCCCATTCCCTCTCAAATCACATTTAACGATAATACGGGTAACATGGATCTTTCACAGACTGTCCCCTGAAACGCGCTACTTTCAGTCCCACGTAAGACCAGGCATTACAGCCAAGATGTACTGTATGTGAGAGGGCAAGAAACAGTACGTTCGTCACAATCCTCAGATCATTGTATTAAGATCTATATCTCTCTTGTTCTTGATTTAAGGAAAGATTAACTATTTTTATCTACCTGTCCTCTGCACTGATAGACAAATCCAATTCTCCCATTTACAAAATGTCTTCTCCACTTCTATCGATCGGCCACAACATATATCGATATCATAGGCCACAGGTCCCGCCTTGTTATGAATCACAATTATACTGTCACAACCTACAGACCGGATAAGGTGTGCTAATGACACCAGATTAGGACAGGAGCCACAGATCATTGGCGCACTGGGTCGGATTCCGAGGACTTGCACTTGTTTTGATGTGTTGTGCTGGGGAGAGAGGCTTGCATTGCTGTCTGTGTGGTACTAACATTGTTTATCTGGTTTACACTGCAGCACCATGTTTAAAGATCCATATTTCACCTAGAAATAACCGCACCTGGATTCCCAAATAATCTTAGACATGGTGATAATGGGAGTACAATGGTTATATGTTTGAGTGGAATGCTAGGCTTTTAGGTTATTTATATTATTTCAATCATATTCCTTTCCACTCACTGATTATAAATGGAAATAATCGTATCCCTTTCCTTTCTCCTTCCTTGACCCAACTCCCTCACCCATCTCTTTCTTCCCAGTATAGTTTAACACTTTAAAATACCTCATCATCCTCCTGCTTTTCAGACTGTCAGCTAAAGTGAAATAGTGGGGAAAAAAGGAAAAGTGTCTAAATCATAGTAAAATTGAATGAAGGCATTTTAAATTATTCTGCTCCAGATTAAACATCAGTAAGAAAAAAGGCATTAACACAGCCTTATATGAACAATATATACATCTGTATCTCTTACAAAATATATTCAGTGTAGGATGTTGACAGCCTGTTTCAGAGGTAAGTCATACATTTTATGAGTTTTGCTAATGTCATAAAGAGGCATCTGTCTGCAGAAGAGCTGGGATCTTTGAATGGATGTATGAAATAGGTACACAGCAAACTAATGTGGATCTATATATTTATATTTTTACTTAAAGGAAATGTAAGAATGCCTAAACCTTTAAATGGATAAGGCATATGTTTTGCTATGCTGGAAGTGTTCAATTACCCATGGAATCCGAACTTACTTTCAATATTAATGGTTCTTAGCACATGGTATTTGGCCCCTCCCCCATACCCTGCCCCGATGCGTAGACAGAGGTAACGCCCTCCCACTGTGTTCCCTGTGCTGTCACAGGCTGGGGGCTCTGACTTGGAGCGCACCAAGAAAAAGCGGCGTGGAGATCGCTACTCGGTGCAGACCTCGCTCATCGTGGCGGCCCTTAAGAAGATGCTCCCCATTGGCCTCAACATGTGCTCCCCCGCTGACCACGAGCTCATCAACCTGGCCAAAATCCGCTACTCCCTGGTATTCCCAAACCCCCATGCACTCATTTTCCTCACCTGCATTCTTTGCTCTGTTGACCTTAAGTTTTCATGCTGTTTTTGCTGTTTTTCTTTTTTGCTTCCGTTGGTTCTTCGTTTTTCTCTCGAGTACCTAAGCCGTGTGGCTTAGGTGATATTTTACATGATGCTGTGTGCATGGGCAGCTGGGAGTCTTTTGGAGCATCGTTAAGAAAGCAGTGATGAACAAGTATAAAAAAAATCACCTAGAAGCAATTCAAAGCAATGTCATAAATAACAGCCTGAATTATATTCATGTGTTTAATTAAAACAAAATGTTATGTCTAAGTTTTTGAAAGCAAACCGTAAACTATTTTGTAAAATTTGCCTGTCTTAGTATTACTTGCCCAGGGACTGCAGATGAAATTTAGATTGAAATTTAGGCGTGATGCCCGCGGGACTCGCGGGACGCG